CTAGTGCTCCCAGGGCCACCCCAGTGCTCCTCACCCAGTACTCCCGACCCCAGTGCTCCCAGGGCCACCACTGGCAGAAACAGATGCTCAAGTCCTGCTGCCCTCAGCCCCTAAGCTCAGGCGCACTGGGGGCCGGAGAGAAAGCACAGCAGGCTGGGGGTCTGCCTTGCAAATGGCCGGCTCTGGTTCCATCCGCAGGAACCCCGTATGTCCCCCCACATCCCGCCAGGAGAGCTCCCTGAGAACAAAGTCGGGAGTCATCCCGGAGCACAGCTGGTGTCCCCCAAAACACCAAAAGAGAGAGAAAGTTTGAAGCGCTCATCTCATGGGTAGTTAACTGACGTGCAGAGCTGTCTAAAGGGGCGTCTCCGTTTGCTTCTCGATTCCTGGGCGGGTCCTCGAAGGGAGAGTCGCCACACAGGCCGGTGCCACAGGCGACAAGACAGAGGCAGGCGGGAACTGCTCCCAGAGGGAAGGGAAGGTCTGGACACTTCTGGACGCTCCGGCTTCCTGTCCCCAGGCTGTGTGGCTCCTCCCAACGCCCCCCAACATACACGGCCCCTGCCCCCCTCCTTTAAGACCCGAGCTGTGTCCTCTTTGGGGTCATCCTGGGAGGGCCTGCGGCCCCGCAGACGGGGGGGGGGGGGTGACCTCTGACGGCCACTCAAGCCCTTGCCAGCAGCCCCTTGGGTCCCCTCTGGCCACGCCCACCACACCTCCCCTTTCTGCAGCGTCCCCAGCCCGCTGGCGATCACGCGTGGGCCGACACTTGTGGTCTCTATCCCTTCACAGGGGCGAAGCAGATTCCAGAGACGTTCCACTCAAGGCCTTGATCACCCCAGAAAAGCCCAGCTCTCTGCCACAAGGGCTCCCCACGAGTGGGCCGGCAGCAGGCCTGAGGCCCAGAGGTGGGCAGGGCCGGGGTCCAGGCCTTGGGGAGCAGTATCCCACACCCCACACTGGGGTTCAGTCCCCCGCCCGGGGCGAACAACGCACAGCAGGGACTTGGGAGCCAGTGCTCTCCCGGATTCCTTCACGCACCTGGGCCCTGGCATGGCCATTTGGGGGTTCTGTTCTGGGTCACAGCTGGCAGGGCTCGGGGGATATTCCTAGTGCTCTGTGGAGAGGGAGTTGCCGGGGATGGACCCCATTAGCGCCCCCAAGCACGTCCCTCTGAGACGCGTGCTGACTCCCAGCTGAGAGGCGGGCAGGGAGGAACAGCATCACCCCCAGTGGCCTGAACCCTGCGTCCCCTCCAGAGCGCCCACCCCCATGGCCACCTGTCTGGCCCTGGCCGAGTGGCTCGCCCTCTGAGGCTCAGGAGTCCCCCTAACAAACTCCTCCTGGGCCCCCCACAGCTGCACAGACCTGAGCATCCCTGCCAGCTCTGGGAGGTCCTGGGCAATCCGGGCCCCTCCCAGCTCGCCTCTGCAGCTGTCCAGAGGTAGACAGCACGCTTAGGCTGAGGCTGCTCTCACCCAGGTGGCCGCACCCCACCTGGGCCCTGCTTGGACTGTCCAGGGCCCTTGGCCATACCTCCCCGCCCACGGGACCTGCCTCCTGGCCAGCACATGTGAGCAGGGCGGCCCGCTGCTTGGTCAGAAGAGTGGACACACGGGGCAGTGCGACATGTGCCTTGGAGGTTTCTGGCCCTGGGTTCGATCCTGGACACACGGAGATGGGGAAGAGGTGGGCACCTGGTCAGGTGGGCCAGTGAGAAGCCGCCTGGCATGGCAGCAGGCTCCACAAAGGAGCAGATGTTGCACTCCTGCTGTGTGAAGCCTTCCAGCAGGGAGCAGAGATTGGGAGCCCCCCAACCCCTCTGCCCACATACACAACGAGTGAAAACTGAGAGACAGATAGAGACAGGAGACATAAAGACAGAGAGAGACGGGGGCTGGAGCAATAGCACAGCGGGGAGGGCGTTTGCCTTGCACGCGGCCGACCCAGGTTCAATCCCCAGCATCCCTTAGGGTCCCCTGAGCACCGCCAGGAGTGATTCCTGAGTGCAGAGCCAGGAGTAGCCCCTGTGCATTGCCGGGTGTGACCAAAAAAGAAAAAAAAAAGACAGAGAGACAGAGATAGACAGACAGACAGACAGACAGACAGAGGCGTTGGAGAATGAATGCAGGTGTTCCAGCGCAGATGAGGCCAAGAGGACAGTTGGTGACCCCCCTCGCCCCCAGCACGGAGAACATGCCCTAGAGACTCATCCCCAGTGGGACTAACTAAGTCCCACACCCACGCCATGGCCAGATCCACGGAGATTCTGGGACCCCCAAACCCTTCCCCTTCGTTTGACGTTTTTATTGATTCAAGCCCACTGCTCTGGGTTATTGTTTTTGTTTTTGTTTTCCATTTCTTTTGTTGTTTTTGCCTTTGGGGCCACAGTTGGCGGTGCCCAAGGCTTGCTCCTGGCTCTGTGCTCAGGACTGGCTCCTGGTGGGGCTCAGGGGACTCTGTGTGGTGGCGGGGATGGAGCCTGGCCAGGGCCTTGCCCTAAGCTCGCCCATGCCTGGTTTCTGTCCCGGCCACTGGAAGGTCGCAGCAGTGGGACGCGCCCGAGTGCAGGGCTTCACCCACACTCCTGGAACTCGGGTGCTGTATGCCCACAGGGCCACCAAGACACGATGAGGAACAGCTCCCCACCGGCCCAGTGCACGCCACTTCCGGGACCCTAAAGCACCTGGACACAAATTCATTTGAGGGCAGGGATGCAGGAGGGGTTTCTGCCCGTCTCAGGGTAAATAGTCCCATAAGAGAGTTGCTCCAGGAGCCCCGGGGGCAAAGAGATGCTTCAGGGGCTGGCGCGGGGGGGGCATTTGTCCTGCACACAGCTGACCTGGGTTCAATTCCCGGCATTCCATATGGTCCCCTGAGCCCCGTCATGAGTAATTCTTGAGCAAAGAGCCAGGAGTAAACCCTGGACACCACCAGGTGTGACCCAAAAAGGAAAAAGAGACGGGGCAGCGGGAGGAGAGAGAGAGACAGATGCTTCAAATGTCTTCACCTAATATAGGTTAGTCCCCCAACATACAAACGAGGAAACAGATTCCCACCAAACCCATGGCCAGACCTGGCTGAGGAGTCCCAGGCTCCTGTCCTGGGCCGCTTTATCAAGCAGAGATATGCAGGCAAATCTCAGCAGCCAGTATGGGTTCGATGCCCGACACCCCACGGGTCCCCTGAGTCCATGGGGGGTGATCCCTGGGCACAAAACCAGGAGTAAGCCCTGAGCATTGCTGGGTGTGCCCCCCAAAAAATACTAATGAATGAGTAGAACGGGGGCTAGGAAGGCAGGCTTTAAAGGAGCTGATCCTGAGTTCTATCACTGCATGGAGGTGGGCAGGCAGCGCCCCAAAACCCCCGGATTAAACCCATGTGGGAGGCTGAGTGGCGGGCAGCCCCGTGGGTCTGGTCCAGGCCGGGTGACACGCGGTTCCATCAGCTCTATTCCCACCAGCAGAGTGCACAAGGTCACTTTCTGGGGACCTCTGAGAAACAAAGGGATGCCCACACCCCGTAGATGCCCAAGTGCCCTAAGATACCCTCACTTCCTGTGGGGGGCAAAGAGCCAGCCCAGCGGGACATCCACAATCTGCCTCTTCAGGAGGAGCTTCGGGGGTGGGGACTTGGGGGAGCAAGTCCTGTGCAAGCCTCCTCAGGGTCCTAAGTGGCCCCAACTCTTACCTCACGGCTGGCTTACGCCCATGTCGCCGTACCCCGCATTTCCCACCCTCCACCCTGAGCGGCTGCCAACCATTTCTGAAAATCCCCCTCGCTGCACGGCAGAGGGGACCCTCAGGGATGACGGGCGAGAGAATCACCCCAAGCTCTGAAGACAATTCCCCACAAAGCTCTGCGCAGTGCACGGACCCTTCAGTGAGAGGGAGAGGACGCCCTCCTCGGGGTCTGCGTGGAAGGGGCCAGCGCTGTTCACACAGCCTGTGTAGGGGATGGAGACACCGCACAGCGGGGAGGTCCAGGACCCAAGCCCAGAATCCGTATGGTCCCCCAAGCCCTGCGGAGCTCCTGAGTAGAGCCAGGAGTCCGCCCTGAGCACTGCCAGGTGAGCCCCCGCAGCTTACACGCCCCGCACACTTTCCTGCACCCTCGCCCCTAGACTCCCCGCCCGCCCCAGCCCAGCCTCTTCCCTCCCAGCAATTAGGCAAAGGCCCAAGGTGCTGAGTCTTCGGAATCCGCCTTCAATCGAAGGGTGGGTGGGGACGCGGCCACTAATGGCCCCCGGAAAGTGGGCTCAGCAGTTCTCCCTTCCAGAAAGCCCTTCTCTGGCGCCAGGGTAAGACGTCTGTGTCAACCCAACACTTGGGCATCCCCAGGGAGGCCCTCATTCTCACTGGGCGCAGTTCCAGAACTCTCTGCATCCTGGGGGGAGGCGAGGCCCAACCAGCCACACCCCCAACCTCGGGGAAACGGGACACAGCCCTCCCACGAGGACCCCGCACGTTATTCGAGTTTGGTCTGGGGCCCACATCTGACAGTGCTCGGACTCCGAGCCCGGCAGGGGCGCGAGCGCGGGGCCCTGCACGCAAAGTCTCTGCTGCGGCCCGTTGCTGTCCCCCGGCCTCACACACCCTTTAAAGACTCCCCAGGCGCGGGCTCGCCGCCGGCCCTTCCTCCGGCGCACGCGCACCTACTTCCCGGGGTCCGCCTCTTCTTCCTAAGACCAGGAGCGCTGTCCACCGACAAGCAGGGGAGGGGGGCCGCTGGTGCCCGCCAGTGCAGGTCAACACCCAATCTCTGGACGTTACCTCCAGTAACTCCTCACTCAGACGCCTTCAGAGAGTCGCACGGTGCTCGCACAGCAGGAACCGCGCGGACCCAAAGACCCGCAGAGGCGCCGCTGCCGCCTCCTAGAGTCCCTCCCCGGGCAGCTGATGGTCACCGCGGCGGAGCAGCAGCCTGCGCGTCCGGCTCCCCCGAGGCGGGGGCTGACCCGCGCCTGACCTGGGGGCCCCGCCCGCCCGCCCCTCCCCTACCTGCCAAGAGCTGCATCCAGGCGCAGATCTTGTAGACCGTGGCCGTGTTGCAGAAGAAGAAAAGCGCAAAGCAGGTGATGCAGCCGAGGATCAACACCATGGAGAGCAGCACGAAGAAGGCGGCCGCCTTGAAGGCGCCGGACGGGATGGTGCTGAAGTCGGTGAACGAGCCGCGGCAGATGAGCTCCCGGCCCGCCAGCCCGCTGCCCACACAGTAGTGGAAGAGACCGAAGTAGCCAGGCTTGGGGGTGCTCACGCTGTCGCCCACCCAGTAGGGCTGAATGAAGACCACCACGTTGATGATGGCGAAGCAGATGGTGAAGATGGCCCAGAGCACGCCGATGGCCCGCGAGTTCCGCATGTAGTGCTCGTGGTAGAGCTTGGAGGCCTCCTGCGAGGGCAGCATGGTGCCGGGGGCGGGGCCGGCGGCGGGGCTGCGGGGCTGCGGGCCGCCGGCCCGGGACTGAGGCCGGGAGCTGGGGAGCACGCGAGAGGCGCTGAGCCGGGGCGGGGCCGGGGCTCGGGGGCGGGGCCTGGGGCGGGGCGGGGCCGGGGCGGGGCCGGGGCGGGGCCTGGGGGCTGGGGGCTGGGAGCGGAGCGGAGCCGGAGCCGGGGTCCCGGGGCCGGAGCCGGGATTCTGGGGGCGGGGCTGGGGGCAGGGGCGGGGGCGGGGGGGCGAAGACGGGCGCTGGAGGCGGGGCCCCGGGGCCAGTGGGCGGGGCGGGGCGAGGGTCCTGGGGGCGGGGCCGGGCCCTGGGGGCGGGGCCGGGGCGGGGCCGGCGAGGACGCTAGCTGCGGGTCAGCGGAGCGCTGGGGCGGTGTCTGGAGGGGCCCGCAGGGATTTCCAATTAGAGAGCCCGGGAAGTGCCACGTGAAAGCTGGGGGGCAAGGACTCCGAGGACTGAGGATGGGGGAGCTGGGAGCGTGTGGGAGCGTCTAGAAAGTGGTCGTGGGGCAGCCGGGGCGGAGGGGGGCGGCTTGCGGGGAGCCAGAGGGGCCCTGGGGAGAGGGGACGGAGGCTGCGGGCGAGGCACTGAGCGAAGGGCAGGAGCGGAGCCGGGCAGGGGCCTGGGGGCTGGATCAGGGAGAAGCTCGGGGGCTGGCGTCCAGGAAGGGGGCACTGGAGAGCGGGTGGGCGCCCCGGGAGCCGCTAAGCGGGCGGCGAAGGGTCCTGCCCTGGGGGGAGGGGCGGCGGGGAGGGGGGCTGCTCCTGGGGTCTCGGCGGGCCGAGAAGAATCAGGATGAGGCTCCGGGGCAGCCCGGGGCTGGCTGCAGGCTCTGGACACCGGGCCGGGGTGGGGGCGCCCCCGAAGCCAGGCGTGGATGCGGGCTGGGGGCGCCCGGCGGCGCGGGCCGGGAACGGGAAGGGGCGCGCGGGGCCCGGCGGCGCGGGGGGCCGGCGCGGGCGGCCGGCGGGCCCGGGCAGGGCCGGGTGGGGGGGCGGCTGCCCCGCGCCCAGGCCGGGCCGGGCGCGCGCGGACGGCCGCGGGAGGGGGCGCGGGGAGACCCACCTGGTGCGGTCCGGGGGGCTCGGCGGGCGCGGCCTAGGCGGCCCGGCTCGGCGCTCCCCGCGGCGGCGGCCTCGGCCCTGGAGGCGGCCTCGGCGCGGCCTCCATCTTGCTCGGGTTCTCCCCGGGGCGCGCTCCCGCGCCGGGGCGCGCGCTCGGGCGGCGGCGCGCGCGGCGGACACGCGCTCCCGCGCGGGCGTGCGGGGCGGGGCGCGGGGAGGCGCGCGGGGAGGCTCGCGCGGCTGCAGGGTCGCGGCGCGGCCGGGCGGCGGCGGGGTCGGGGGCGAACGGGGACTCTGCACCCCCGCCCTGTGCCCCCGCGCCGGGGTCTTCGGGGCCTTGAAGGTCCCCCGGGAACGGGGACCCCTGAGCTGCGATCCGCCCACGCCCGCGCGGGGGGCGTCCCTGCCGGGACTGCGCGGTGAGTACCTGGCCCGGCGGAGCCGCAGCCCCGCAGCCCCGGGGACCTGGGGGGCCCGGAGTGACAGACAGACACGTGCCGCCAGCCCCCGGCTCGGGGTTAGGCCCCGGGATGCGGGGACGCCAGGGGCTGTGGGACTTTTCCTTCCCTGCAGAAAATAGCTTTTGGCTTTAGCATCTGCCGCGCAGATCTGGCTCGGCTCCTGGACAAACCCTGACGGCTGTCTCTGGCATCTGCGCGCTGAAACTGTTTCCCCATCTGTAAAGTGGGCAGATGAAGCCCCGCTTCCCAGGGGGTGATGGGTAAAAATAGCCAGACAGGGAGCCGTGCAGGCGGCACCCACTCAGCGGGCAGCCGGACGGAATCTCCAACCAGCGACTCAAACGAGAAGCATGTAAGGTCACTAAGTGTCCTGCGCGCCCTGGGGTCCCGTGGCTGAGGACCTTTCCCTGAGGTTACGATCTTCCGGCTCGGAGAGGGTCCCAGCACTGCTCAACCTGTTTGTTGCCAGATCTGACTTTTTGTGCTCAGCTACGTGCTATTTAGGGCGCTGGTGGTGGGTTTGGGGGTTCCGGGGCTGTCCCTGGGTAGCAGCCGGGAGTGTGAGGGATCATAGGCAGGACACAGTATAAACCCTCCGAGCGCCCTCCTGGGCTGCTCCTAAAGAAATGATGGGATAGGCAGTAGCTTTCTAAAATTGTCCTGATGTGGCATCATTATCCCAGCCCCGAATTTTAAGCATTGTCAGATCTGTACACTGTGCCAGCTGGGAAGCTCAGAGGCAGGTGAAGGCAGGCGGTCGACTCAGTTTATTTCTCGGGGTCGTTGGCAGAGAACAAAGCTGCCAGCATCTGGGGCCTTAAGACTTGGGCATCTCACTGGAGGGATGTTGGGTGATGGAGAGAGCAGAGACTCATTCTACACCTCCTCCCTCCTGACGGATGGGGAACAGAGGCCAAAGGGGGCTGACTTAGGGGCGCTCAGTCCTGACTTATGCTCTTCTCCATCAGTGCCCTGAGCAGGGAAAGCGCCAACCCCCTGCCGGGCACCGGGAGGAGAGGATGGCAGAGAGCTATGGTTCCCTGTCTTCCTGGAGAGACACCCAAGGGGAGACCCAAGAGAGAGACCCGAGGGGGAGACTCAAGGGAGAGAGACCCGAGGGAGAGACCCAAGGGAGAGAGACCCAAGGGAGAGAGACCCAAAGGAGAGAGACCCGAGGGGGAGACCCGAGGGAGAGACCCAAGGGAGAGACCCAAGGGAGAGAGACCTGAGGGAGAGACCCGAGGGAGAGAGACCCAAGGGAGAGAGACCCGAGGGAGAGACCCAAGGGAGAGAGACCCGAGGGAGAGACCCAAAGGAGAGAGACCCGAGGGGGAGACCCGAGGGAGAGACCCAAGGGAGAGAGACCCGAGAGAGAGACCCGAGGGAGAGAGACCCAAGGGAGAGAGACCCGAGGGAGAGACCCAAGGGAGAGAGACCCGAGGGAGAGACCCAAGGGAGAGAGACCCAAAGGAGAGAGACCCGAGGGAGAGAGACCCAAGGGAGAGAGACCCAAAGGAGAGAGACCCGAGGGAGAGAGACCCAAAGGAGAGAGACCCGAGGGGGAGACCCCAGGGAGAAACCAAAGATGCTGCCAGGAAGCGGCCGTCCCGGTGACTGTCTCCGAGTGTCCTGCGTGGGAGCTCCTGGCCCCGGGTTCCGAGCCCACGTTCCAGCCTTCCTTTCTCTGCTGCCCCTGCTGCAGGGCTCAGTCCCTCGGGCCTGCTCCGCCCTGTCCCCCCACATTGATTTTTTTAATCTTTTGTTTTGAGGTCACACCTAGGAGCGCTCAGAGCTTTCTTCTGGCGCTGTGCTCAGGGATCACTCCTGGTGGGCCCCAGGGACCCTAGGAGGTGCCAAGGAACGAACCTGGGTCCACCCTGTGCAAGGTGAATGCTCTGGCCCGTTTCTTTTCTTTAAAGAAACTTGCCTGCCTCGTCAGTCCCTGAGTTTAGTAAAACTCAGCCAGTCACTGCTCCCAGCCCCACCCGTCACTGTTCTCTTCAGATAGGGGATCCAATCAGGCCAAGGTAATGGGAATATTCCGCAGTCCTAGACAAGGCTTGGTTGGCCATAAGCCAGCTCAAATAGCCATGCCTGACAGACAGACCTCCGGTTGTCACTCAAAGATGGAGCTGCTCTCGTTCAAAGGTAGTGTGTGTGTGTGTGTGTGTGTGTGTGTGTGTGTGTGTGTGTGTGTGTATGTACCCAGGGAGGGGGATGGGAAGGTGGAATCCGGGCTCTGCCGCTAAGTCCCGCCCAGCCCCCTGGAGGCGCTCTCTTTCTGCAGAGTTTTTCTTTCTGCTGACACCCCAAGCAGAAATTGGTTAAGAATAAGATCAACAGGGATCAGATATAGTACAGCAGATAAGAGTGCTCGCCTTGCACACAGTTAATCAGAGTTCCATCCCCGGCATCCCAAAGGGCCCCCTGAGCACTGCCAGGAGTGGTTGCTGAGTGCAGAGCCAGGAGTAACCCCTGAACATCACCAGGTGTGACCCCAAAACAAAAATAAACAGAAGAATAACTTGTGATGTCTGGCCAATTCATCTTCCCTGCTTTCCAGCGTGGGTCCCTCAGAGCTCCTGCCTGTTAGTTTCCTGCTGGTATCCGGTTCCGCCCTGCCCATGCTTCTCTGCCACTGCGAAAACACACCAAGAGAAGCACCTCTTAATCCAAAGGACACGGAGAGCAGAGCAAAACCGGCCACATAACACGTACATAGCACACGTGCAGCTAAGGAAGGGATCGAGACAGTCGTGAGGACATAGTTTAAGTGCCTGGACCCATTCGCAGTCAACGCCGTAGTACTCTGTTAAGTGAGCAAGAAATTCAGTTCTCACTTAGTTTGATTTGGCTTTCTGTCACTTCAGATTTTGTTTTTGGGTGGGGAGGTGTTGGGAACCTGCCCCAGTGGTGCTCAGGGATCACTCCTGGGGGGGCTCAGGGCTGCTGGGGATCAACCCGGGTTGGCCACATGCAAGGCAAATACTGGACCCACTGTACTATTGCTCCAACTCCTTCATTTCAGATTTTTTTTTATTGAATCACCATGAGGTACTGTTACAGACTTTCATGTTTGAGTTTCAATCATACAATGATCAAACACCCATCCCTCCACCAGTCCACACTCTCTACCACCAATGTCCCTAGTATTACCCCCCTTCCCAACCCTACCCCTGCCTCTATGGCAGACAAATTCCCCCAGACTCTCTCTCTTTCTACTTTTGGGCATTATGGTTTGCAATATAGATACTGAGCGGCTATCAGATTTGGTCCTTTCTCTACTTTCAGCACTCATCTCCCATCCCGAGCGATCCCTCCAACCATCATTGTCTTAGTGAGCCCCTCTCTATTCCAGTCATTTCAGATTTTTTTTTTTTTGTGTCACACCTGGCGATGCTCAGAGGTTACTCCTGGCTCTGCACTCAGGAATTACCCCTGGCGGTGCTGAGGGGACCCTATGGGATGCTGGGAATCAAACCCAGGTCGGCCGCATGCAAGGCAAATGCCCTACCCGCTGTGCTATCACTCCAGCCCCTCAGATTTTATAGTCCTAAATCAGGTGCATTACCCCCAGAGAGATCCAGGCTCATTTGCCGATGATTTGTATTGTAGAAGAACACTGGGCGAGGTGAGCTACTTACCTCCAGGCTGGACGCTTTGGAACCTAAGACCACGGCTGGGAATCCATCTCTGCTGCTGATTAACGGGCAACGATGCTACACTTCAGTTTTATTTGCTTCATTTATAAAATGGAGAAAAACCTTCTTCCGTCCCACAGATGAAAAGAGATAATGGACGGAGAGAGCTTTGTAAACCAAGAAAGGCTCTCTAAATGTAAGTGATCGTCATGAAACTTTAATAGGCGCCCACAGAATTGCTAGAGTCGGGGCCATCTCGCATTGCTGAGCGGGAGGAGCTGGCATGGAACGTCCTGTTTTACAGGCAATCCTTGGAGCCCATACAGGAAGCTGGAGCGCCATCTCCTCTCCGGGGCAGCTTGGGTCCCAGGGAGAAGCCAGCCCAGCACGCAGCAGGCCTGGAGCCTGCAGGGGAGGGGAGGGCCTGGGGCCCTGGGGCCCATGTCCTTGCAAAGGAGACGAGGGACCGAGAACCCTTCACGGAGAAGGTTCAGCTGCGTCTCCCAGTTGTTAAGTTGACCACATTCTAGATCCCGTGTTCTTTGTTCTCCTTGTATCATCTCATTTCACGTTGTTGCGCATACCTGCACATGCACACACACGCGCGTACACATGCACACATGCACGCATGCCCTCCAAGCTCAAACTCTGTGGTTCTGCCCTCCATCCTCAGAACTCCGTGCTGCTCACCCCAATCTTCCGCCTCTCTCCATTTGGAGATGGAGGCAATTAAGGTCAAACGAGACCACGAGCTGGACCTTAGTGCAGTGTGACTGTGTTCTTATTTTTATTTATTTATCTGTTTATTTATTTATTTATTTTGAGTCACACCCAGCGATGTCCAGGGGTTACTCCTGTCTCATGCACTCAGGAATTACTCCTGGCAGTGCTTGGGACTATACGGGATGCTAGGAATCAAACCCGGGTTGGCCGCGGGCAAGGCAAACGCCCTCCCCGCTGTGCTATCGTTCCAGCCCCTGTGTTCTTATGTTTAAAAAGGCAGTTTGGGGCTGGAGCAATAACACAGCAGGTAGGGTGTTTTCCTTGCATGCGG